AAATGAGGTTGAAGAGTATGAATTAATTGAAAGAGTTATCAATAGAAAAATTATTTAAGAATAATAAGGATTGTATTTTTAAAAATAATAATAAATAAATAAAGTAAATGTGTCAACCCGTCAACCCACGGGTCGACCTCTGACCTAACCCATGACTTATATGGATTGATATTATGAGTTATTTACATATTGTAGGTTGAGATATATAGACTCTAACTCTTTTTTATGAGTTGGGTTAAGGTAGAGTTAGGGTTAGATTAACAGGTCGAGTAGATTTTTGTCACCTCTAAATATAATTATTTTTTATCCAAAAAATCATTATAAGTTTTAATCATTAAAAACAGAGAAATAAATAATTAAAATTTTATATAAGTATATTATATAAAACTTTTATATAAATAAATTTTTACTCTAAAAAGTAAATTAATTATATACTCTTAACTTATATTTAAAAAATAAAAAATTAGAAAAACCAATAAAAAAAATATACATGATAAGATCCATAATCTCAACTATTCGAGATCCTTTATTAAGTAAAAGTCCTCGTTAGGTTTAGGATTAAGTACCAAATTTGAAAAAATTAACACTTTAAGAGATTAGTATTTATTCGTTGAGTTTTTTAAACCCTTTTTAAAAATTAGAGAGAGAAAAAAAATCATGGAGAATACCAAGTAAAAATCAAAACATTTATATTACTACTTTAAAAATAAAATATATTAGTCTTTTATAATAAAAATTTATTAAAAATATGATTTTATATTTTTAAAAAAAAAATTTAACTTATGCCTTTAAAAATCAAAATATATTAAGGGTATAATTAATATTTTTTATATTAAAAAAATAAATATTAATATTAATTTTATCTTTAATATCTTATGAACATTTGAATTAATAAATTAATTAAATAAAGATCAATTTTTTTCATATAAATTAATATCAAAATAATACCCTTAATCTATGCCTTAAATCACAACTTAAAAAAATCTCAACTTAAAAAAATCTCTTCATTATTTATTAGAAATTAATTTTACATAAAACAGTACCTTAAGTTTAATATCCATCCTCCGTTATCGTTATGACCACGCTACGCTACAAATATGGATATAAAAACAAAACAAAATAAAATAAAAAGACTGCAAATTAAAAAAACGATAACTATGCCTAGAAACAGTGGCATTTGAGAAAATTTAACGAAAAAAAAAACCTTAATTTCAGTGAAGAGTTAACGTCAACCCCACGAAATAAAGTTATTAATCCATCCATAAGAAGAACCAGACATCCATAGCCAGCGCCCAAAACAGACCAATTCAAACTCTCAATTCGCCTGAAATTCATACAATCGATGCTTCCATTGTTCCACCCTCATCTGATTTCTGAATAACAGAGAGGAATTCATAGCATTTCTGTATGTAAATGCATCTGAAGAAATCTGAAGAACAAGTGATTAATAAGATCGGAGAAGAAAGCAGTACGAGGGATTGCTTCTCTTCCGATTTCCGTCCAACCCCACTTCCGTCTTACCCTCTCCACCAAATCCAGACCCCAGGAAGAAATCGAAACTACCCTCAATCATCAACCTCACAAGGGTTTGCTTTCTCCCTTCCGAACAAACCTTCCCACCTTACCATCCAAATTCCACCCAACCCACCATCTATACCGACCCTGAACCAGCATGAAGCCTTCTTTAATTCCCCAAGTTTTGCGCTTCTCTCAACGCCACACAAGAGGTCTGTGATGACCCAAACACTGGCGAAGTCGCCTACTCTTTCTTCTCTCAAGAACCATGCCCACCTTGGCCGTAAAGATTCTACCTTTTCCCAGCCCTTTTCTTGTTCTGGGTGTTTCTCCATTCCATTTGATGCACAACAAGTTGCTGACACTCTCATTCGCCATTTGAGTGGTGCCCGTTTGATTTGTTTCCAACTGCGCTTTCTTTTCCTGTTTTCATTGGGTTCCATTTACTTCCTTGTGTCTAATCCTGGTCGATTTTTTTTCCTCAATTTCCTTTTCTTACTCGCTTTCTCGCTTACCCTTTTGATTTCTCTCAATATTGGGCTCCCTCGCCTTGCTTCGATTCGATTACTACTTGCTCATTCTTTGCCGAGTAAATTCAGCTCATTTGGTTCATCTTCGAAGTCTTCAAGATCTGTGGTATGGTCAATTGGGTCGAAGCCAAAATCCGAAAGGAAGACGGGTTCCGGATCTTGGGTGCAGGCCTACAGTAATGGGAACGTATATGAGGGTGAATTTCATAAAGGGAAATATTCAGGGAGCGGGGTTTATTATTATTATATGAAGGGGAGGTATGAGGGGGATTGGATTGATGGGAAATATGATGGCTATGGTGTGGAAACATGGGCAAAAGGGAGCCGATACCGAGGGCAGTATAGACAGGGGTTGAGGCACGGACTTGGAGTGTATAGGTTTTACACGGGTGATGTTTATGCAGGGGAGTGGTCTAATGGGCAGTGTCATGGGTGTGGAGTGCATTCTTGTGAGGATGGCAGCAGGTATGTAGGGGAGGTCAAGTGGGGTGTTAAGCATGGCCTTGGTCATTACCATTTCAGGTAAAAAAATGAAATCTTGGAGTTTTTCGCAACATTTATATTTCATGTTCTCTACTTAATTTAATTTGCAACGTTTATTTTTTAATTTATGGTGAAGTCTTGATCTTTGTCCTTTAAATAGCATCATTGAATTATATTTATTTTGATTACTTAAGTCAGTTCGTATTTTTTTTTTGATGAATAAGTCAGTTCGTATTTAGTTGTTTGATTTCAGATTATGCTGGATATCTACATCATTTGTTATCTTAGCACGTTTGAGATTGAATTCTTTGTTTGTCTTATGTGACCATGCTTTCCCATCCTCACATTGGCATGAAGTTTGTATAGAGCCCCTTGATTACGGAGACGATTGTTGATTTTGTTTCTCAGTCTCTATAGTCATTGGTGACTTGTTTGCCTCATGCCCTTTTCTCCCAATATGTTTTTTTATATTCTTTCATACCAGATGAGCAGATTGTAGGAAATAAACTCTATTCTTGTTTGCTATTATCCTTTGGAATAATCAACCTCTTTGCAGCTACACTTAATTGTCTAGTTCCATGTAGCATTTTTTTTCTTAGTAGCAACTTGGCAAATTTGTGAGATGTCTCTTTCTGTTATGTCGTTTGAAGAAAATGTGATATGGCATAAACTCAATACTACATTTTCACGAGTGGAAGCTTTATTCTTCCATGATTTTCCTTTTCCTGATATGCAATGGGGAGGATGGTGGAAAGTACCAATAGATGAAACTTATCTTCTTTCTGTTATGCAAAAATATAGAGTTCTGCCTTGTTGATGGATAGTCATTCCTATGAAAAAAAGCTACTCCTGATGAAGTGTGTTAAATGGCATAATTGACGCAATCTATTAACTTTGGTGCTTATGAAATATTGTTTGTAATTACTTCAGAAATTAGTCATGAAGTTGTTTAATGCAATTTTATTGACTGGTGTATTCTGCTATTTGCAATCCAGAAATGGAGACACATATGCTGGGGAATACTTTGCAGACAAGATGCATGGCTACGGTGTTTATCAATTTGGTAATGGGCACCGGTATGAGGGAGCTTGGCATGAGGGAAGAAGGCAGGGGCTTGGTATGTACACTAGAAATGGCGAGACACAATGTGGTCACTGGCAAAATGGGTTTATTGATCTGCCTAGCTCACAAAACACACATACTGGATCTGTCACCTCCGTCAGACACTCCAAAGTCCTTGATGCTGTCCAGGTATAACACTGTTGTCACTGCCAACCATTTCTACCTGTTTTTCTCTCAACAATCAATAAATGTCACTTAAAATTTCCTCAAACCCTGACTTGTAATATCACCAGGTTCATTTAACACAATTCAGTCTGAAAATTTGCTCTACTATGTTGATTTAGTGCTGCAACACCAATAAAGACCTCTAACTAGAAGTTCTCTTACCGTGTACCGTCTGGTTCACAGGAAGCCCAGCGAGCTGCTGAGAAAGCTTTTGAGGTGGCAAAGATTGATGAGAGAGTGAACAAAGCAGTTGGGGCAGCAAACAAAGCAGCGAATGCTGCTAGAGTCGCAGCTGTGAAGGCTGTCCAAGAGCAGATGCATCAAAATAACAGTGATATCCTGCCCACTGCAATTGTCTGATACCAGAAGGCCACCAGGCTTCAAATGCTGGGACAATGGAACATTTTCCTTCACTTTCTTTAACTGATCCTTTCAACGTTTTTTGGCATTGGTTTAGTATTTTCTTTATATTTCTTTTCAAGGATGGTAAATGGAAGCACGTGCTTGGAACCACATTCAGCCACTGAAGAAGGTTGATTGTGGAGCGAGATGAGGGCTTTCTGCTACCTTGTGTTTTTGGCTCAAGTTATATGTACATAGCTTGATTTTTGAAGCTATGGATGTAAGGCAATGAGGTGCCAAGGTTAAAAGCCCTTAAACTTTTGTCTTTTCATCTTTTTTAGTTAATGTAATCCATGGTAATCTACTTCCTCAGTCCACGGATAGGCGGGATGTGTATCAGACCATCCACTTCTCCATGTAATATACGAACTATAATTGGTCATGGTGATACATTAGATGTGCTTAGGCTTTCCTTTCCTACCACCATACGCAAGACTAGTAAATCTCAGTTAGAGGTCTTTGGTATTAACCATATAGCAATTACACAACCATAGATGGTCAGGAAAGAGATCAGAAACAGGCAACATCAACTCTAAATTTCAAGATCCAGAAGATAAGGACAACAGTAAAACAAATGACACCATCCTTCAATCTTAGATCAAGTTGCATTAACCTACCACAAAACACAAATGTTTCTTGAGATACAGAAATGAGAAACAGGGAAAGGGCACATCATTGCCCAAAAATTATCTTAACTCATAGCTAAGGAATGCGGAAATCTTAAAATCTGCAGAACACAAAAACGGTAGAGCTCAGCTCTCAGTTTGTTCCCTTAGCCTCCGGATGGTACTCCTCACAGTCACAGCGCTAGCAGTACTGTTGATTAACAAAAGCAATCGGTTAGCTAATTAGATAACCAGGAAAGAATCAGAAAACAATGAGGAAAGGGTGGAGATCTTTACTTCAAAGTATAGGCACCACCTGCTTTGACCTTCCCACAGTCCTTGCAACCCCATATTCCCACAGCCTTTCTCTTAACAGCATACTGCAGTAGAACATTAGACATCAGAATTAACACACACACAAACACTAACAAAACAACCTAAAACCCAAATGTACCAGTAGGAGCTATTATCAAGCACGTAAAATCAGCAACATTCTTACCTTCCCACAAAATTCACAGAAGTACTTGCTGTGCTGACTGACTTCCATCTTCTTAATTTGCTTCCTCAGACTAGCACCATAACGGGTACCTTCATTAATTAAGAGAAATCTTAGAATCAGATATCCAACATCAAAACATACGCAGTAACCATACAAAGTGAAAAACAATAAATGCCATTACTTTGCATTAAACTCCAAATAATTGAACCCTCTACATAGCAAACTAGGAATTCATTAAAAAAAAAAAAAGAAAGAAGGAAAGAAAGAAAGAAAATATCAATGCCTACCGTATTTTCCAACAATTCCTGCCTTCTTTGTTCTCTTAGTCTGCATCGAAGGAAAATGAGCAGAATTAACAAATTTCACATGATGGAAAAAGGAGAAAAAAACAACAAATTTAATCAACATTGCTACTAAGACATAATATTCAAAAGCCCCAGATCTTTCTTATCCACATTCTACCAAAAAACGGGATTTGATAATATATTACACGACAACAACAGACAGCAAACGACCACTGTAATACAATCCTAACAAGAAAACCAAACCCAAACACGGTCACCCTAAATCTGTTCTGCATGATAAAATACCTGACACCCACCCATTAAAATTCTATGCAAATTATTGAATCTCCAGTAACAGAATCCATTTCGACTTCGCAACAACACATAACATTAAGATTTTATGCAAAATACAATCCGAGAGAACAAGCGAATGCAGGCGCATGGATATAGGTGCGTAAAGGGAAAAAATGAGGAATTACCATGGTGGTCGACTCGGTTGCTCTCCGGGCGTGGAAGAGTATGACGGCGGCCAAGCGAGAGGAAGCACTGCAGTGCAGAGAAACTAGGGTTTCTCGTCTCCGGCTTCGTATTTTATATATCTTGGAACGAACAGGCCTGCAACCAGGTCTGGAATCTAGATCCAGATTCTCATCTCACTTTAGAAATGGGTTTTGTACATGAAACTTTTGGGCCTGATATTTCCTTACAAGGCCCTAGCTTATAAGCCCATCTATAAACCAAAGGACAGGGATTATCTGGGCCGAGCCCTACATAATTTCCGGATCAAACTGTTTTTTTTTTTTTTGGTAAAACCTCCGGCTCTGCGACGGAGAGCCAAAACCAAAACCTTCCAAAAAAGACAGCCAAAGCTCCGGGGAAAAATAAATAAATAAATAAATAAAACAAAATAGAGAAAAAATTGTTAACCATTTTTTTGGGATTTGTTTATGTTGTTGCAGATCGGGAGCTCCATTCTGGTCTCCTTGATCGATGGCACAAAGTGAGGTTTTAGATTCCGTGATTCTTCATTTTGTGTTTTGATTTTGAAGCTCATTGAAATGCACGTTCGATTTTGATCTGGAAATCGAGATTTGGGTTGTTATATTGTTTTGAGAATTTTCAATTTTGCTGTTGTGTGGGGATTTTGTGGAGGAATTCAAGATTCCGGTGACCGGTGACTGGCATTTTGCGGGTTTTGGTTTCGGTTTGATTATCTGCGGAGGATTTGAGGTTCAGAACGGATCTGTGCCGGCATTTGTCTGCATTTATCGTTTGAAATTTTTTGTTTAGTTTTTGAGAGTTTGATGCGTTAAAAGGTGGATTAAAGAAAAGGCATTCTGTTTATTGAGGCTTAGTTGGTTTGAGAGATGGATCCAATATCTGCAGTCAGTGAAGAGCTAGCGGAAATCAATGGCCAAATCTCCGACATTTTTCGAGCTTTATCGTAAGAATTTCTCATCTTTTCTGTTCTTTGTGGTTTTTGCCATCCACATTGCAATTGTTATCTTTCAAATTTGCAGTTTTTGGAACTGCATCCTTCGAATATGATAGGTGTTTGCCTCGTGTTAAAGAATTAATTCTCCATGAGATGAGATTGTAAACTTTGGATGGTGACAGGGGACCTTATTTGCGTGCTTCTAATCCTTATTTTGTTTTTTTGTTTTTGTTTTTTTGATGAAATGTGAATTTATTATCAATATCACCAAAATTTACACAAAGCAGCTCTTTTGGTTAAGGCTGCTACTAATATCAGTACAAAGAATGAAACAACTCCTAAACTACTGTATGTTCAAGCCTTAGCTGTACATCCATTTGAATCATATCAATTATTGCAGAAGGAGACCTGTATAGCTGTCTATGTATTCTGCTGTTTCTTTCAATCCAGATATGATATATTGATGCCCACCAAGCTAATTTAATAAGAGAGCTGTACAAAGCCTTATGTTTAACTCTCTTACATAACAAATCCAAAGCATCTTGCCAAACACAGTTTACTGGGATTTCCAGCATGGAAGAAATCTTTTCCCAAATATGAGTAGTGTAGGGGCAGGAGAAGAAGAGATGGTTCCTAGTTTCACTTGCATTCCCACATAGCACACAAGTGTCATCAATGGAAGAAGACCAATTTTTCTGTCTAGACCTGGTAGAGAGTCTATCTAATATAGCCAGCCAAGCAATAAAACTATGTTTGGGAATAGAATTCGAGTACCAAATGAGTCTGAACCAGGGTACCTTAGATCTTTTTTCTCTAAGGAAGTTCCAAGTAGCAGCTGTTTGAAAAGAACCTGATGGCGAAGCCAACCAAACAACTTGATCCTCCATAGCTTGATTAGGATATAACGTTCCACACAAAGCAATTTGAATCTGCAGCAGTTCAGGGGACCTAGCAGGAGGCCATTTCCAATAATCCCCCTGGATTACATGAGACAGTTTTGCTTGAGAGGGAATGGCTGCATCTTGTGTAATTTTCTGCCCATATACTTCAATAAGAGGTCTCTTGGGATGCCAAGAATCATAGTAGAGAAAAATAGTGTCACCTTTACCTACTATATGCTTCACGAGAGGTCTAGCATATGTTCTAAGTTTTAGGATTTTTCTCCAACTCCAATTAGTGTCTGCTGGAATTCCTACTGACCAGAAACTCTTTTCTTGTAGGAATGGGTTTCAGAAATTGGAGAAGATTAAAGATGTTAACAGGCAGAGCCGACAGTTGGAAGAGCTTACAGAAAAGATGCGGGAATGCAAGAGGTATTTCAGATTTATCCTCTCTAGCCTGCTTGCTTGCTTTAACTGTTTAGTGCCTGTTCTGAGCCAAGAATTGCAGTTAATTAAGAAATTAGTGGCATTAATCAATGTTTTCATATGTTGTAACACAAGATAGTTCTGAGTGCAGAACAGCAACGGCCTAGTCAAAACCTGTGTAAGCATTCTTTTTTTAATAGATTTTTTGTACTCAATTGGGAAGTCAAAGTCTTCCCTTTTCTCAAAGAAAATAAAGATAGTAAACTATAAGGATTGGATACTGTAAACATCAATAAAATCCCAATAATATTTTTCTTGTTCTTTTTTTCCAACTTTCTATTATTTTGTTCTTCTAGAGTTTCTTTGCTGGTTTGAATCAAAATATAATATTGATTTATTTTCAGGCTTATCAAAGAGTTTGACAAGGAAGTGAAGAACATGGAGAGCAGAAATGATGCAAATACAAACAGGATGCTGAATGAGAAAAAGCAGTCAATGGTGCTTTAATTTTAATTTATGTTATCAATTTTATGCTCTTGTTTTTTCTAGTTGATGCTTTGCTTTGCTTTGTTGCCTACTTGCATGATCATCTTGTGTTCAAAGGTTTCTCAGACTTATTGGAATTCTCATGCAGATCAAAGAGTTAAATTCTTACGTTGCTATGAAAAAACAGTAAGTTAATATCAGTGGGAAGCTACCACTTTCATATTGTGCGTCAACAATATCAGCTGAGATTGTGTTGATTGATTGTTTCTTTTCCACTCTGTTCTACTCTCCATGCTCTTATCCCCTCCTTTATTTTTCCTTTGCTTTAAATTTCTACCAAAGTGAAGATAATTGTCTTTTCAGTGTTATCTATCATGATTTTTGTCCGAACTTCAGACCTGTAGAATTACCTCCCTTGTTTTCCCTAATTCTATTTAGA